GTGACTCAATCAAGCAGCTCCCTGGGGTGAGCTGCTGTACCAGATGTGGTATCCTTACTTGAGTAGATTAACACATTTCTTGGTATATGGTATGCAGCTACCGATCTAGCAAATACCTTTTTCTTGGTACCTCCCCACAAGGACCACCAGAAGCAATTTGGTTTCAGTCGACAAGGCTATTGGCAAACATTTACAGTTTTACTCTATTAGGATATATTAACTCTGCAAACTTGTGTCATCATTTCATTTGAAGGGATCTCTTCAACAAAATACCACATTGGTTCACTATATTGATAACACTACAATGACTGGACCAAGTGAGAAGGTTGACTTCTTGTTAATACAAGCACATCAGATGAGAAATAAATCCAACCAAATTTCAAGGGCCTCTACCTCGGTGAAATTCTTAGGAGTCAAGTAGTGTGGGGCATGCAGGGATATTCCTTCTAAAGTAAAGGATAACTTATTGCGCCTGGCCCCTCCCACCACCAAGAAAGAAACACTATGTCTAGTGGTCCATTTGAATTCTGGAGACAGCACATTCCTCACTTGGGTCTGTTACTATGGTCCATATACCAAGTGACTCAGAAAGCTGCTAGCTTTTGAATGGGGCTGGGACAGAAGAATTTTCAATGGGTGCAGATGCTATGCAGGCTTCTCTACCACTTGAACCATATGATCCAGCAGACCCTATGGTACTTGAGGTGTCAGTGGCAGATAGGGATGCTGTTTGGAGCCTTTGGCAGGCCCCATAGGTGATCACAGAAGAGACTTTTGAGATTCTGGAGCAAGGCTCTACCATCACCCACAGACAACTGCTCTTCCTTTGAGTGACAGCTCTTGGCCTGCTATTGGTCCTTAGTGGAAACTGAACGTTTTACAATGGACCGCCAAGTTACCATATGACCTGAGCTGCTCATTATGATCTGGGTATTATTGGACCCATCAAGCCATGAAGAAGGACGTGCACAGCAGCAGTCCATTGTCAAATGGAAGTGGTATATACATGATCGGTCCCAAGCAGGTCCTGAAGACACAAGCAAGTTACTTGATGAAGTTGTTCAAATGCCTATGGTTTCAACTCCTGTTACAATGTCCTCTGCTACCCAGCATGCACCATAGCTGGGCTATGCCCTATGATCAGTTGTCTAAGGACGAGGAGACTAGGGCCCTGTTTACTGATGTAAGTACCACCCAGAATGAAAAGCTGCAGCATTACAAGCCCTTTCTGAGACAACCCTGAAAGGCACCGGCAAAGGGAAATCTTCATAGTAGGCAGTACACATGGTCATACGTTTTGTTCGGAAGGAGAAATGGCCAAATGTGTGACTGCTTACCAATTCATGGGCTGTAGCCTACAGATCAGCTGGATGGTCAGAGGCTTGGAAAGAATGTGGCTGGAAAATTGGCGAGAAAGATATATTTGGGGAAAATGTGTACAGATATCTCCAAATGGGCAAAGGATGTGAAGATATTTCCCATCTAAATGCTTCTCAAAAGGTCACTTCAGCTGAGAAGGAATTCAATAATCAAGAAGATGACCTGTTCTGTGAACAATCTTTTTTCCCCAGTCATCCCTGACACTGCCCAATGGGCCCACAATCCAAGTGAGCATGGTGGAAGAGTGGAGGGTTATGCATGGGCTCAACAACATGGACTTCCACTCAACAAGGCCGATCTGGCTACAGTTCCTGTTGCCAGCAGCAGAGACCAATACTGAGCCCTAGATATAGCACCACTCCCTGGGGTGAGCAGTCAGTGACCTGGTGACAGATTGACTATACTGGCCATCTTCTGTGGAAAGGACAAAGTGTTGTAGTAAGTTGAAGTAGATACTAATTCTGGTTATGGATTTCCCTTTCCTACACATAATGATTTAGTCAAAACCACCATCTGTGAACTAACAGAATGCCTGATTCACCAACATGGTATTCCACATGGTAGTGCTTCTGACCAAAGAACTCACTTCACATCCAGAGGACAACAGTGGGCCCACAATCATGGAATCCACTAGTCTTACGATGTTTCCTACCATCCTGAAGCCTCTGGGCTAACAGAAAGATGGAATGGCCTTTTGAAAACACAGTTACAACAACAATTAGGTGGCAGCAGCATGGAAAGCTGAAGCAGGTTCTCCTTAAAGCAGTATATACAATATATGGTACAGTTTCTTCCATAGCCAGGATCCACTAGTCCAGGAATCAAGGGGTGGAAGAGGAAATGGTTCCATTCATTATCTCCTCACAGTGACCCACCAGGAACATTTCTGCTTCCTGCTCCTGCAACCTTAAGTTCTATTGGCCTAGAAGTTTTGGTTTAAGATGGGGAAGAACTCCTGTCAGGAGACACAACAAACATTCCATTGGATTGGAAGGTCAGGCTTCCCCCTGGCCACTATGGGCTTATGATGCCCTTCAGCCAACAGGTTAAGAAAGACATAACAATATTAAGAGGGGGTGACTGCTTCAGATTACCAAGGGGAAACTGGATTGCTTCTTCCCAATGGAGGAAGACAGATTATGTCTGAAGTGCAGGAGATCCTTTAGGGTGTCTCTTGGTGCTACCATGTCCTGTGATTAAAGTCAATGGGAAACTAAAACAGCCTAATCCAGGCAGAATGACAAAGGGCACAGACCCTTCAGGAATGAAGGTATAGGTCACTCCTCCAGGAAAAGTCAAGACCTGCTGAGGTGCTTGCTGAGGGTGGAGAAACACAAAATGGGTAGTGGAAGAAGGTGGCTAAGGCCATGTGACCAGTTGTAGTGACAAAGATATAACTGACACAACTTTTCTACCATATGTTGTTAAGTATGTGTTTGTACAGGTGTTTATGGCTTTCCCTCAATTTATTATGTAATATAACATCAAGAGAATATCAATAGTTTTCATATTTAAGTTTTGAGGTACTAAAAGTATAACCCAAGACACACTGTCATCTATTCTAAAATCTATACAATATGCCTTTGTGATTGTAAATGGGACAGTTATGTTAGGAATAATGACTTGGTTACTGTTTTCATTTGGAAACTAAGCATGACAGAAAAGATTCGAATGTGTGTCAAGCAGAGCTAAGAAAATTTTCAGGAAATTACATTGGTAATACAGAAAATTGGCACCTGAGAAGACACATGAAGTAGGATTATATTTTGTAGATAACAGGAAGCCACTCCCAGCACATACTTTTCCTCCTTGAGGGGAATCTAATAATTAACTTATACTTTCTCCAACACCTGTTACATGGTTACAAGCGTGTTCTAATAAAGGCCCAAGGTCAGTAACACTTTCACAAATTAGAGAAGAAAGTTACTTAAATATATTATCAAATATATACTTCCTAAGTTTGCTCAAGTTATACTGAAATTATTAAAGTTGACAGCACCTGCCAGCATCTACTAGGACCTTCATATTTCACTGAGTTCTTAGTATCCTCATCTCTATAACACAGATTACTATTTACAGTTGCTCTGTTTTACTTTTTTCTAAAAAAAAAAAAAAAAAAATTACTGTGTGTGTGTGAGATACTCACTTGCCATGGTGCACATACTGAGGCTAAAGAAAGGACAATTTTGTGGAGTCAGTTCTCTCCTTCCACATTTATGTGGGTGTGGTGGAATCAAACTCAGATCATCAAGCTTTTGTTGCAAACACTTTCACTCACTAAGCCATCCAGCCTAGCCCCTTCTCTACCGTATTTTAAAACTACAATGATTTTGGCAATTACCTTTATACTCCTTGTACCATCACAGCTTTATTTCTTCTATCATAAAAAAGAAACCCTTTACCTTTTAGTAGGTGTCCCTAATTAAGTATAGTACCTTTTCATCTTCAAAGTTAAGAGCAAATTACCTCATTAGCAATTCTATGAAGTCAGCTCACCCTGAAAGTCTAAATCAATCCCCAGTCCTTTTTAGAAAACAGCTTAGAAATAAATCAGGCAGTGAAATACCTTTTAAAGTCTACTTTTTCAACTCACATTTGGTATCATTTGATATAATTCAATATTCATTCAGAGAAATTAAAGCAAATTATAAAACATGCACTTTACTTGAAACACTTGTGATCAGCATCTTTCTTATCCTTTAAGATAGAGTCTTGCTACAGCCCAATTAAACTTGGAACAAAAGTTCCTCTTTTCCTTAGGATTACAGTAGGGGTGTGCATCTCTCTCATGAAGTTCTACTTCAGTTTCTTAAAGTATATGTTCAACCACTCAATTTAGTTACCCCCACAATCTAAAACCGAATTAATGTAGAATTAAGGCAAATACACTTCCCACTAGGGAGAGATGGTATAAATTTCCTCAAATAAAATCTTAGCCTCTTTCCTTTGTACTTCTAATTTAAAAAAAAAAAAAAAAGAGGCTACTTAAAATTCGGCACCAGATTCTGAAATTTCTACGTTTTCGGTACATTTTAACGATTTTCCCAAAGGCTGCAAGCCAGTTCTTAACCCGCAGTTAGCTGTTGAGATGCAGGGGTTCCAAAACCTTAAATGGTGTGCAAGCTACATGAATTTTCGAGGGAGAGAGAGCCATGGCTATGTTCAAAATCTCAAGTAAGTCTATATACTTTTTAATGTCGTTAAAAAGAATTCTGCAGCTAGGCTGTGGTGGCGCATGCCTTTAATCCCAGCATTCGGGAGGCAGTGGCTGTAAGTTCCAGAGCAGCCAAGATTGTTTCACAGTGAAACCCTATCTCGAAAATCCAAAAAATTAAAATAAATAATAATAATTATTATCAGTCAGCTAAAGTGACAAAACTGTGTATGTGTGTAGGTGGGTGCATTTGAACAATACAATTACCGCTTAATATCTAAATAAAAATGCATCCTTTCATCCAATGACCCAGATCCTGACACTGGCCTTCCAATCCGAAAGTCTTCTGGTTTAGAATGAGGGAAAGAAGTTCAACTCCTCCCCCACCCCCAAATTTCAATCTCTGACCGACCCTCCGCATCGGGTCCGGTTCCGAGCCCGAGCAGGGCAGCAGGAGCTCGCGTACCTGGGTGCTGGTTCGATTAAGGTGGTAGTATCCAGGTAATGGATCTTGTAGAACTCCAGCAAGGCCGGCAAATGATCAAACTCCTGGTCCCCGATCTTAAAGCGGCGGTTGGGCAGGGAGTTGATGATGTAGTGCGAGACACGCGAGTTCTCGGACACCGACAGTACATAGTCCCCGGGGCAGGTAGAGGAGTCCCGGACTAGGAACATGCCATGACGCTGGCCCTGGAGACGGGTCTGAGCCTCCTGGCGAGACACTGGTCCCATGTACCAGGCAGAGCGGTCTGCAGAATCAAACCTGGCGGACGACATGGTGTTGCGTCCGGGGATGGGCGGCGTCTGCTCGTGAAGCCTTTACCCGCTGTCGGCTTTGGGGCCGAGGAAGGGCCTCTCGGAAGACCTCGAGGAGCAATTGGAGGGCTGGGTCAGGACCTTCCTTTCGTCTCCGTATCCCGCAGCATCCTCTGCCTCCGCCCGCCTGCACCGGGCCGCCTCACGGAAAGAGCCGGCCGGGGAATACTGGGTAAAGCCCTGGGGTCGAGGTGGGCGAAGCGGAGCGGTAGCAGAGGCCGCCTCGGGCTTCTCAGCTGCCCGGCGCCCAGAGCGACTTCTGTCCTGGAACCTTCCGGCTCCGCAGGCTCAAGAATCCCGCACCGACCCTCGCCGTCACACGAAGTAGCCTTCTCCAGCAAGAGTGGCGCCTCCCCGGCCGTTCCTCCCAGCCCGTTCCCAATAGCCACAGCAACAAAATGGCGGACGCGGGAGAAGCGGCCGGGCACCTCCCCCTTGGTCCAGCGCACTCTCTCTGCGCACGCGCGGAGCCGGGCGCTATCCCGCACCACGGGGCCCGCCCTTTGACGTCTCTCGGCTCAGCCAATCAGGAGTACGTTCGCGAGGGTCCCGCCGCGAGCCACTTGCGCTGGCTCCCGCGTTCCGGGAGGAGGCTGCGGAGCCAGTGGGTCAGCCCTTCCTGGGCCTCAGAGCTGCAGTCAGGCAACTGCCGCCGCCGCCGGGCCTCCCGCACTTAGCGAGAAACAGCTGGAGCCGAGAGGGAACAGCGTTTTGAAAACCTGTTTCTGGGAACAAAGCGTAACGTGCTGGCTGAATGTCTGGCCAGGGAGGCGTGGCCCTCAGGTGATTGCGAGCCTGAGGGCCCTGATAAATCAGGCGGTTTAGGAAAGGCTTGACCTAGGGTGAGGTGACCATCAAATAGGTTACTGAATAACGTCTGCCCTAGGTGATCCGACTTGGCACACGTGGAACTAGTGCTTTAGGAAGACTACAGTCTGGTGACAACCAGGCCACCACAGGCTCTGAAATGCAATACTCCTATGTCTGACTTGAAGATCTTGCCTGCTGTAAGATCGTTGTTCTTCAACAGTTCCCTTCCTGCCATTCCATGTTGCTCGGCTCCAGCTGGGCCCTCCCAACATATTTCCTCCACCCCCACTAGAATCAATCTTAAGAAAGTTTTCCTCAAGCTGGGCACTGGTGGCACACGCCTTTAATCCCAGGACTCAGGAGACAGAGGCAGGCAGATTTCTTCGAGTTCGAGGCCAGAGTTCCAGGACAGCCAGGGCTACACAGAGAAACCCTGTCTTGGAAAAAAAACCTAAAAATAAAATTGTCTTTTGACTTCGGTGTAGGGTGGTGGAACACATGCATGTACTCACACATCATACACAAATACACACCAGAAACTTAAAACATGCTTTATGTTGTTTTAGCCTCAGTTGTAATTTGTATAGCTCAGATTTTGAATTTGACCAAGTTTAAATCAGTTGACTAGATGGGTTACTTAATCACTCTGTGACTGACCCTGAGACTACTAGCACTTATCTGCTAGGTAAAATGTACTAGCCAGCTGTGGTGATGCATGCCTTTAATCAAAGCTCTCTAGAGGTAAAGGCAGGAAGAGTTAATTAGTCCAGGTTTGAGACCATCCTGGCCTATATATTGAATTATTGAATTCCAGACCAGACAGGGATACATAACAATATCACAAAAAGCAAAAAAAAAAAACAAAAAACAAAAAACAAAAAACATACACAGGACGAACACACAAAACCAACTATAAAATCAGCTATTCCAGAGGTTGGAGAGTTCAAGACTAGCCTATGAAACATCAATTATTGAGACAGGGTTTCTGGTTTGCCTAGAGCACACCAAATAGATGAGGCTGGCTAAGGAGTGAATTGCAGAGATCCAGCTATCTTTGCCTCCCAACATTGAGATCATAATACACATACCACCAGCCCTAGCTTTTTTTATATATATTAATTTATTTTTTAATTTTTATTTTACATATCGATCCCAGTTCCCTCTCCCTCCCTCTTCACTCCCACCCTCACATGCACCCCTCCCCTCCCATCTCCCCCCACTCCACTTGTAGGGTGATGCCCTCCAGAAGGGGTCATCTAAATCTGTCAAGTCATTTGGAGTAGGGACTAGGACTTCTCTCCTGTCTCTAGGTTAAGGGAGTATCTCTCCATGGGGGATGTGCCCGCAAAGTCCTTTTGTGCACCAGGAATACATCCTGGTTCCACTGTATGAGGACCCTTAGACTGTCTAGGCCTTCTAGCTGAAACCCATGTTCAGAGGGCCTGAATCAGTCCCATGCTGGATTCCCAGCTATCAGTCCGGGGGGCCTATTAGCTCCCCCTTGTTCAGGTCAGCTGTCTCTATGTGTTTCTGCAGCCTGGTCTTGTCTTCCCTCTCTGCATCTGGATTCCAGTTTAGTCTTGTCCTCCCTCTCTGCATCTGGATTCCAGTTTTAGCCCTAGCTTTTTTATGTGAGTTCTGAAGACTATATTCAAGTTCTCAAATTGGCAGAGCAAACATTTTATCCATAAAGCTGTTACTCCAGCCCCTGGTTTGTTTGATTTTTTTTCAATATACTAATTTAAGAATTTCATTCATATATACAAGAAATTTTGAGCATATCCACCATCCAGGCCACACCAGGCCATGCCAGGAAATGCCAGACCATGCCAGGCCACATCTGTCTCTATGTCTCTCATCTTTCTCTCCTTCTTTCTGCCTTGCTGTGGTCTCTCTGTTTCTCTTTTTCTTTCTTTCTTGTTTTTTAAGACAAGATTTCCATGTGTAGTTCTGGCTATCCTGGATCTAGCTCTGTAGAACAGGCTGGCCTTGAACTCAGAGATCCTACTTCTGCATCCTGAGTGCTGGGATTAAACACATGTGCCACTACCACCTGACTAATCGATTGCCTTTCTTATTTGGCTCAACTGTTTGTGTTTTTAGAATGATAATTAATATAATCTTCATTTTAAGTTCTTTCTCTGGGACTTTATTTAACTCACTCTCGTATAGATCCCATAATTTTTAAGGACTTATATTGTGTTGGTGTCCTGGTTTCATTTCTGCTGCTGTAATAAGTACCCTGACTAAAGCATATCAAGGGAGAGAGGGATTATTTGGCTCAAAGTTCCAGGTTAGAGTCCATCATTATGGGAAATCAAGACAGGAACATGAAGCAACCAGTCAAAGTAACAGACCCAGAAAGGGCCTGGAACATTGGCTCAGTGGTTGGGAGAACTGGCTGATTTTCCAGGAAAACAAGTTTGATTCAAGCATACTCATGGCTGCTCAAGTCTCAAGAAATCCAATACCCTCTTCTGGTCTCCCGGGGGCTGCACTATGTGGTACATATACATGCGGGCAAAAACCAACACACATAAAATAATAGAAAGAACCAAAAAAAAAAAAAATAATAAAAAAAAGCAGAGAAATAATTAATGCATTCATGCCTACTTCTCTTGTTAAAACTCTCACACACGTCTTTGGTCCTAGCACATAGGAGGTAGAGGCAGGCAGATCTCTGAGTTTGAGGCAGCCTAATTTACAAAACAAGCTCCAGGAAAGCCATTCTTACACAAGAAAACCCTGTCTCAAACAAACAAACAAACAAACAAACTCATTTTTTTTTCCTCTTCTGGAACTGAGGACTTATTTTGTAGCTGTTCTCTCTAGGAGGAGAGAAGCCAGAAGCACACAAGATCTAGTAAGCAAAGAAAACATACAGACTCAGAAAATAAATGAAACCTACAAGGCTTGGAAGGCCCTGAACTTCCTGAGATTTACACGCCCTCCCCTCCCTAAAGATATGGAAGTAGTCAGCACTTCTTAGGGAGATGCCTCTGGTATCAGGGGACCTGTTAGAACTCATGCAGTGAGCTTCAAAGATGAGGCCTAGGAGAGTCATCCCCCATGCTGGGGTGGGTTTTAGAGAATGCAGCTGCATTTGAGTCATCCATGCTCTAAGTAACCTTGAGACACACACCATAAATAACCCAATAAGCCCTGCATCACTAAATTGGACTTGGTGGAATCACCATTGGTTTGTTGTCAGTGCACTATATGAGATGGGATAGACAGTGGTTTACATCCCCAGGATGTAAACAGGAAAGCTCACAAAATGTAGTTCATGATTAAGTCCCTGCACCATCCAAGGTCCTCCCACTCAGTTCCTAGCATAAGCCTACTTGAAAAGCAGTGATGACTGAGGTCAGAGTCTAACCCTTCAGGGCAGGCAGTTAGACCAGTCTATACCTGCAATGGCAGTGACTCAGCTTCTACAAAGGGTTACTCATCCAGGAGTGAAGCTCCAACCCCCTTCAGCAGCTATGGTAAGCTAGCATCCTTGTGGCTAAAACAATGCAAATGCCTTTTCAAGAGTAGTGTTTGTCAAGAGTAAAGTAGTGTTTCAAGAGTAAAGGTGTTTGTCACTTCCTAGAGCATATTGTCTGTGAAAGACCTGCTCAGCAGGTATCTAGTCTGTGGAGCTGCTTCTGTGCACTTTTTTTTTGCTCTAACTTTCATTCTGCAGCGTAATGGTGAAGGGAGAAAGGGCTCCAGTAGCCCCAATCCTCACATCTACCCATGATGATGCCTGCTCAAAGAACTGTATTTTCTTTTTTAAATTAATAATAAAATGTTTTTCTAGCCTGATCAAAGTTTCCCCTCTCTTCCTCTTCCCCTCCTAGTCCCTCCATTAAACCTCCCCTCCTCCCACCCCTACTCACTCCTTATTTTTGCTTCAGAAAAGGGCAGACCTCCCTTGGCTGTCAACCAGCCATGGCCTATCAAGTTGCAGTGAGACTGGGCACCTCCTCTCCTATTAAGACTGGATGAGGCAACCCAGTAGGAGGAAAGGTCCCAAAAGCAGGCAACAGAGTCAAGAGATGCTCCCACTGCTAGGAGTCCTGCAAAAAGACTTAACTAAACAACTGTAACATACATGTGGCCTAGGTCAGTCCTGTGCAGGCTCTCTGGTTGGCAGTTCATTCTCTGTGAGCC